CCCAGGTATCTAGAGGGTAAAATGCCATACAGCAAAACTGCTGCCTCTTCCCATGGCTGTGTGTTCAGAGATCAGCAGTCTCGGAGCAATAAGCCTGCCCACGACTTGTAGCAAAGCTGTGAAGAAGCTCACCTGTCCTTGGGAGGCAGGAGACTGTCAGCTCCCCTGTCCTCCCTGTGCTGTTTCAGCCTTGATTTTGCAAGACTTGAACTGAAACCTGAACCTGTGGCATTGATTTAGTTCCTGTGTTTGACCAAGGAGATTGTTTAACCTCTGCCTGTCCTCTTCCTTTAGGTTACAGGCACATGTCCCTGGCCCTGAACAAGACTGGAAGGAGCATTGTGTACTCCTGTGAGTGGCCTTTCTACCTGAGGCCTGTGCAGCAGGTAAGTGGTGTTTTTCAAGGCTTATGCTGGGGCTGAAGGTGGGAAGAACAGAAAAGCATTCAGACTGCAAAACAGCCTCCTGAGAAACTTCCTGCTCTCTGGTCCGACAGAGAACAAGACTGTAAGGTGGAGGAAAAGCACTTTTTCCTCTAGAGCCATGAAGTATACCTGAGGTGAGTCATTACTCTGCTGAAAAGAATTCCGCAGGATCCTGCAGCAGGAAGGCACAGCCCATCTGGAGCATGCAAAGATCACCGCAACACCCATCTGCTTTCTGTCTCCAAGGAACCAAGTAGCAAAACACTGGCAATGGAGACATGCAGCTAGCAGATGGTTTGGTGATATTCCCCCTGGACACAGAGTGCTGCAGACTCAGCCTTACAGTCACCTCTACGGACCAGGAGACAGACTTTAGGACAGCCTATTTCATAGGAATTCTCCCCATTGTTTACCAACAGATTTCGACACCATGACGGGGTGGTGCCATGCCCTCCCACTGGCAGTTAAATGCATTAGTCACCAGAGAGTGTAAACCCCAGAAATGGCAGTAATTACTGAGAGGGCAGTTTAATCCCTCTGGCCCCATCACACCTTCAGTAAAATAGTGCTCAAAGGAATTTCCTAACAGAGCTAGGTGGCCACAGCTAGTCTCCCAAGAGAAGCAATAGGGTTGTCTGGAGCATGGCAGACTGGAGTTACTGGGCACAAGGCATCCTGGGGAACCAAAATGCACTAGATCATCCAGATAGCTGGTGATGGAAGGCGTTAGCATAGTTCTCCACCAAATAATCCCCAATCCAGTCTAGCTTTGTGTACAGTCTTGTTCTTGTACAGCCAGGCTCCCTGACTAATCACACTCATTGTTTGGGCAGCCCAATTACACGGAGATCAAACAGTACTGCAATCACTGGAGGAATTTTTTTGATGTCTACGATTCCTGGAACAGCATCAAGAGTATCTTGGACTGGACAGCACTTCACCAGGACAGCATTGTGAAGATAGCTGGGCCAGGGGGCTGGAACGATCCTGACATGGCAAGTAGGGCAATGCCCACCTCCCTTGCAGCACCAGCAAAAAAAATCCTTTCCTCAGCTGTAGGTTGAGAAGGATGGGAAGGGAGAGGATCGAGGGGGGAAAACCATTGAGGGGAAGGGCTCTTGAGAGGGCCCTAGGATCAGGAACTCAATGAGAGGGTCCCTGGCTGGAAAGGGGAAGAGGCCTACCGCTCCAGGTGGTACCAAGGAAGGACTGTGTAACACAGCCTCTACGAGCAGTGCCAGTTCCAAATGCAGGTGTGGCAGTGGGAGTCTCCAAAGTGCTGATCTCCCACCAGAGGGAACACTGCTGAGTGCCAGCACTGCAAGAAAGGAATAGCTGCATCCAAAAGCAGATTCATAAACGCTGCTTAGACAGTTGAGGATCCTTCTTTACCTCCACCAGTGGTTCATCCTAAATTGCCACGCTAGTCATGCCTTGCCTTTCCCAACCAGCTGGACCCGCTACTGGCACTCAGCCTATCTAACCAGTCCCCAAATAGGGGTCACACCCTCAGCATCATGTTATTTACCAGTGCTTGGATGTTATTTACCAGTGCTTGGATTGGTGGCCGCAGTTTCTCCTCAGCAGGGAGCATTACCAGGCGTTGTTGTTGTCTTGTCACAGCTGGTAATTGGAAACTTTGGGCTGAGCTGGGACCAGGCAGTGACTCAGATGGCAATGTGGGCTATTATGGCAGCTCCCCTCTTCATGTCCAATGACCTGCGACACATTAGCCCTGAGGCCAAGTGGCTGCTCCAGAACAAAGAGGTGATTGCCATCAACCAGGATCCGCTGGGCAAGCAGGGATACCAGATCACCAAGGTACAGCAGGACTGGGCTGGTGGTGCGGTGTGGGGCACAGGCAGCTAGCCTCCTCAGAAAGGGGGCACTGGGAGGATAAGGGGTTTAGAGGAGTGCTCAAGGTTTGGGAACAGGAGCCCAGTGAGCTCACTTGTTCCTGAAGCTTGCTTAAACAGCCAGGCATGAAGACCCATCAGTTCTGCCTCCGCTAACATAAGCCCCAGATTTATTTTCTCCTTGGCAGGACAAGAACTTTCAGCTGTGGGAGCGGCCCCTGTCTGGCCGAGCCTACGCCGTGGCAGTGCTGAACCACCAGGAGATTGGGGGACCCCAGAACTTCACCTTCCCCCTCACCTTCCTCGGCAATGGGCTAGCCTGCAACCCAGCATGCTCTGTCCGGCAGGTCCTGCCAGCCAGCAGGGACTGGGGGGTTTACAGCTGGGTCTCCTCCCTGAGTGCAGAGGTGAACCCAACAGGCACCGTGCTGCTGAAAGTAGCAGCGCTATAGGAGGCACAGACACTTTTTGTAAGCCTGCTTGCCTAAGCTTCTTGTCACAAGGAGCCTGCCTCCTTCCTCCAAGCCGGGTACCTTCGCTCTCTCCTGAGGCATTCACTACTCAAGTGCTTCTCGGTGGACTCCGAACCTTCAGCTTAAGGTGACAACTACCCCTCACTCCGTCCCCGGGAGGTAACAGAGAAAGGGGTGCTGCTGCTCTTCTGTTTACCCTTTCTCTGGCATCTCGCCTAACTCCTTCTCCAAGGGGCTGCAGGGTCCCAGCAGGGCAGCAGCTCCTGTTAGTGCCCACTGCCACTGCCGACCAAAGAGATGCAAAGGACGATACGTGCATCCTCTCACAGCTCTCCCTGAGCGTTTCAGGGGCAACAGGGAAACGCACCCCGGCTGCCTTGCTCTTGCTTTGCGAGGCTGGGGCATGCAGTCCAAGAACAAGAAAAGCGGCTCCTACCCCTGCTGAAGAAACCCAACGCTCTCCTCGGAGCACGGACACCTACTTACACCTTCTGACATCTCAGGGACTGGCCTAAATCACTGCACTTCTTGGCAACTGCCTTCTTGACAGCTGCCTGCTTAGTATAGATGTGATGTAAGTATCTTGCCTTAGGACTCAGCTTTTGAGGGTTTCTCCTTACCCCAGGAGTTTTCCTCTCACCAGTGGCTGTCACTTCTCGTTAGATGACAATTCCCTCTCCACCCTTGACAGCGCCACTGGCGTCCCCTTCCTCAGAGAGCTGCCTTCCAGAAATGCCTGTGTGCTTTCTTTCCACTGCTGGCAGTAGCCTTTAGGTTGAACACAGGTCCTTCTGAGACAGGAGATGGATACTTAATCACTTATGCAACCATCATGCACAAGTATGTTCTCTTCTGACTGCTACACAATCAGGATGTCTGGTTTGTTCTTATCTCTGTGATGAAGCGCTTTGATTAAAGTGTCCCTTTAAAAGGCTAAGCTTTTTCTTAATTCCACTGTACAGAGTACAGCATGGTATCTGACATTAAAGCAGGTTTTAGAAAACAGGCCTGTTTGTTCCAGTCACCAGTTTGTTGTGACATTTGTCATGATCACTACAAACAGCACGCAGTAAAGCTGACACGATGCAGCCATACAGTCCATCAAATAGGCAGAGGCCACAGCCACTGCTGCCAACAGCTTAAGCAGCAGGAGTCAGAAAACGCCAATCACATCAGCCACTACTGAATAAGCAAAAACACAAATTCTGTTACCTGTTTGGTAACTGGGCGCTCTCAGTGCCTGTGAAGATAGGAACAGGCCTTTCTCCATCCCCCAGCTCTATCTCCGCAAGAGAGTTACTCTTGAGAGCCTTGTGTTGCCTTCCTGGCACCTGCTGACAGTAACTCCCTGCTCACATGCCGCTGCCTCCAGTGGATGATCCCATCAAACCCCGGGGCAGGCTCTTGTAACGCACCACGCTCTCGGTAGCTGCCCATCAGTCACTGCTCATTTGATACTTCAGTGCTGTGCTCAAGCGTTTTCTTTTAAGGAAAATTCTAAGAGGTGTCAACAGCAGTCAGACACGGGGAGCAGGCAGCTGAGGCCTCTGACGCCATCCCTTCCAGTGTGACAGCATGCAGCTGGAGGAACCATGGGCACAAAGCTGTCCCTCTCCTGTCTCCGAGTTACCATAACACTCACAGCCACCGCACACAGGTCGTAACACCTAATGGTGCCGGTGACACTTCATCTGATGACATCCCTGGTACTAAACCCACTAGAGCTGCTCCAGGGCCTTTGCTCATGTGTTGCCCCTTAGGGCTCGGAGAGGAAAAAAGCCTACTTGGGCAGTTCTGTATCTTTTTTTCAACCATTACTTCATCTACCATATCAATTCCTTCATCAAATTCACCACAGTATTCCTGAAACGGAACTGCCACAATAGATGTGAACTCTTTTAAATGAAACACACTGCAGAAGGTTAGAGGCGGCCCTTTTGAAGACAGCCTCCTACCATGGAAGCTCCTAAACAAGGCTGAAGAAAAAGCAGCAGCACAACGCTCACACAGAGAAGCCACTGGTGCAAAACACCATCAGAGCCTCAGGCTCTAGGTATATTCTAAAACACCCCTTCGTAACACAGTAACGAGATCCCGGCCACTGGCAGGTTTTTTATCAAAAGCCTTCGGATTACAAACCGTTCCCTTACTGAGCGGCTTTGCAAGCAACACCTTCCTGCTGGGTTGATGTACTTGCAAGTCCCACCCCACCACCAAGGGAAGGTACTCAAAACCAAGCAACAGGTCACTTCCAAATACTTTAATATGGTCCATAACAACGAGCAGCACGGACCTCAGAACTGGATCACCTGGCCCTGTAAGAAGGAAGAGACAGAGCGAGTTTATTCACCACGGAATGTTGCCACCCTTTCTCAGCCACTCACTGTACACAAACCTACCTTTCTCTTCTTGTCTCCTCCCAGCTCAAAGTGCTTGCACCTCTTAATCGCCAGCATCCTCTTGGACCTGCAGTTGGGCTCTACGCACTCCAGCCTCAGCACAATCTTCTTCGTGGTCTTAGCCTGGGAGTAGAGGAGCAGAGCCTGTCAATGCAATGAACAAAAGGCCCACAAGCAGACAAACAGCTGCTCTCAGAAAAAGCTTGTTGCCTGCACTCCTGAAGATTCAGCAGCTTGTTCTCCAAGTGGAAAGAAAAAGACTACCAACAGATTTGGGCTCCCTCCATTAAAAACAAGGAGGCAACTTAAGGATCAGTACCGGAGTGCAGCGGATCTGTACCTTCACAATAAGGGACAGTGACAAAAGCATTCAGTGGGTCCCCTGCAGAGATCAGCCATGCTGGAAGAACGTCTCTGCCAGTGAACGTACCAGGGAACACGTGCTTCTGCAGTGTGGGAGAACAGATGCACAGTGCTCAGGAGAAGTTCAGCAGAAAGCCAGGCAGAAAAAACACCTGAAAGCAGCACAACTTACAGACCTGCCCTGGAAGGAGCAGACACAGTGTGCTCAATGCGGACCTGCAGCTACTGAGAAGTCAGATGAAACCCAGAAGACTACAGAGGGAAGAACCCAAGGTGAGAGGCTACTGTAGCAGCTGGTCAGACCTGTAACCACTGGTTATAAGCCTCGGCCAATCATCCATACAATGCTGACTGGGAAGAAACAGAAATGGGTACGACAGTGTTCAGGTGCACAATGCCAAACTGCAAGAGCAGTACAGCTGCTTTGTGTACTCTGCTTGCAGAAGCATTTTCTGCAAGGTCTCCCCACTTCCTGGCAGAAAATCGACTTGAAAAACTGCTATCTCATTTTTTTTTTCTTTTTGCTGGAAGAATACTTGGACTTCACCAGCGGGACACCAGAGCTTTCCAGCAACAACCCAAGTAGCTCTATAAGCATAAGTCAAAGAGTTCACACAAAAACTGTAACACATCAGCTCATCGGGTTTTGCCTCCCTGCTGTAAACACCACAGATTTCAGCCCCCACCTGCAGCTCCTTGGCAGGAGGTGCACAGAAGCACAGAGGGAAAACGCGCTGCAAGACTGCAGTCCAGGTATCCACACTGAAGAGGAAGGATGACAGCAGCAGGTTTCTGCAACTCATCTGCAGCAGAATGCGCTGCTGCCCTTCCGCTGCTGCTTTGAGACTCTCAGGAAAGGCCTAACGCAGCAGCTCTCATTCACTGCCGCAGCCACATGGACTTCCCTGCAGGCAGCGGACTGCAAGCACACGATGTGGTGTTCTGCAGTATCCCCAGGAGCTGCACACGCTTCGCTTCTATCATACCCTTGTCAGGGAAGGCAGCCTCGCTAGGCAGAGCCTCACAAACCCAGCAGTTTCAGTGATAAACTACCGGCACTTCAAGGACACAAGGAAAGCAAGCTGCAGGCTCCCTTTCCCCTTGCTGCCCTCGTTGCCTTTGGGGAGCAATGAGAAACACACTCCTTTCGTTAAAATTATCCCTTCCAGTAAGACCCCGCTCCCCTAATAGCATCAAGGCTCCCTGCAGAATCTGCTCTGCGAACACACACTGTGTTGCTCCTGCAAAAACAGAAGCACCTACGCGAGATCGGAGCAGCAGGGAAGATGAGCAGATGTGGACGGGGAACTTGCACTCCCCGGACAGCACCACCAGCACAGAGTTGCCATAACATGGCTTGAGCCCAGGACCACCACAAGGCTGCTGGGCATATGGACTGCCAAGAAAGCTTCAGGTCCTCCTTCTAGGAGCAGCACTCACCTTCTTACGGAAGATGGGCTTTGTCTGGCCCCCGTAGCCACTTTGCTTCCTATCGTAGCGTCTTTTTCCTATAGGAGGAAACAGCTGTTTAGGTAACAAGACACACTACAAGCGCCACTAGCACTTGTACCAAACCCTCACAGACCCCAGCCTGGAGCGGCACAACCGATCAGAAGCATCTCCGCCTTCTCCCACAGCCGCGCACTCTGCCCACAGCCCTCACTCTGGCACGGGGCATGGCCACCCGCGCCCCGCGCAGCTTCCCCCGGGCTCTGCCCCAGAGCCTCCGGAGCGCAGCCGCCCCTACCCTGGGCGTAGAGGGAGTCCTTCCCCTTCTTGTACTGCGTGACTTTGTGCGGCTGGTGCTTGCCACATTTCTTGCAGTAGGTTCGACGGGTTTTCGGGACGTTCACCTGGAAGGGCAAGGAGAAGTCGGTCAGCACGGCCAGGAGCCGCGCAGGGAGCCGAAGAGACACCACACCGCGCTCCGGGGGCCTTTCT